GCCCTGGTGCAATATCCACAGTGATGAATGGTTTAGTAGGCACTCGCAACGCAATCAGCTGAGTGCGGGCGTCGACCGGCCCGGCGGTCATACTTACTTATTATAAATTTTAATATTTGTGATTTTTTTTAATGTCATTTGCTCATTTAATTACTCGTATGTTTAATGATTTCAACACAATGTATGATACTGATATCAAGTGTAAAATAAATAAGGCATTTTCTTTGACGATTCATTCTGACATTGTTTAGGTACTGCAAAATACAGACTTAAAAGGAGTCAGAAATGACAACAAAACCTTAAAAGTAGTTTTTTCGTAAATGTATTATATTCTGTGAAGAGTAATCTCGCTAAAATTGTTTTTAATGATGTAACCAATATATTCCCAAAAGATCTTTAGTAAATTAAAAATGACCCTGTATATACTGCGTTATATAGCAATAATGATTTTATCGTTGTCGGTCTAACAAAGTAGTTCGTACAGTATACATGATATGATAATTTCTTGTATTTGCCACGTTAGTTTAGGGGCTAAGTGCTCGCTGTAAAAACAATCCGAGTTCTATGGAATTAATATTTGTAATTTTAAGTGCACGTTTACCACGTGCTCCGTGGTGAAGAAAATAAATCGTGAGGAAATCCAAAGATCTGAGAATTAACTTCTAAATTTAAAAAACATTTTGAAGACATGTGAAGTGCCCATAAGTCTGCGCCCTGTGGCCTGCAGAAGGATATTGGCTGTGACATTACTTTTTTTTCCACTGACCATTATAAACAGGTACCTAGATTACTTTTAGTTGGTACAAAGTTTTAACCGTGATTTATATGGAGAACAAAAAGAACCAGAGACCTTTTTCCTTTTGAAGAGGCATGGCTCTTTAGAGATGACAACGCATTTGCGATTTGATTCTAAATGGAGGACAGATGAAGGTTGTCTAATGACCACAGCGCTCCTTGCACACGTGTACTGTGTGCTCGTTAATTTTAACTGTCATTCACAATATTTGTCGAAGATTGAAATTTAATCAGTTATCACGATCAAAGGGTCTGCTTCACCTGCTTTCGACTCAAACTTACATACCAATTTTTATATTATGTGTTTCAAGAAATTTGAGCTGTCGGCAAACTTTATCCTCGTAAATATTCATAGGTAGTAGATTTGCATATTGTAACGAGCATTTTGTCACACACTTTATTCTTTTGAATTTAACTTATTTTGACATTTATTTAAAACTTGGATAGGCTTAAACTATGATGGATGGATAAAGCTTTGCTAAGGTATACAATGTGTAATATATTTTAAAAAACCAAAAATATATTTTAAAATTTATAAAAATAGAAACTGTCGTAAGAAATTCCTAAGATTTCTTAAACAAAATAGAAATTAAAATAATTTTTAGGTCAAGTTTCACGGGCAGATGAAAATGAAAAAAAAAAGAACATATTTTGTCACATGGTGAATAAGTGGCGTGGAGGTTTAAGGGATAAGCGCTTGCCTTCAAGTTTCATCTTATGCGAATAAACTTTTTTTTTTATAGGATAAGGGTGACAAACGAGCACACAGTCCACCTGAAGGTAAGTGGTTTCTGCGGCCTATAGACATCTACATCTATCCTCGTTTGTGAATCAAAATGCAGATGCGTTGTCACCCGTGAGGACTAAGATGGAATGCCTAATTTACAGTAAAAAGAACTTCGGCCACCTGCACTCACCAAGCGAAATGCAGAGGTAAACCTCTACTTCACGCTGGTATTCTGTGAGGTCGTGGTACCACCCCGGTTCGAGCCGGCCCATCCGTGCGACAGCAAAAGCTGCCGCGTGGCTCTACCACTGTTAAACTGATTTTGTTTTTGCCGGTGCCACGAAAGTGTAGGTTGAAACTTTATTTAGGTACTAATTTTCTCCGTGATTGATAGTGAATAAGTGAGACAATTAAGAATATATTCTAGGACCCTTACAGTCACACATACATTGGGGCTGCACAGCTGACTCTTATCTACTTCAAATCCCTCTTAAAAATGAGAGTGCCGAAAAACGACCTACTGAGTAGTGAGACAAACTCAAGCTCTTTGTAAAGCAAAGTGCTCGCGTACACCGTGCAGAGTACACGTAAAGCGTTTGAATAAGAAATGATAATTGAAACTTGAAAATCATCGATAGATAATTTCACACACGATTTTTCGACCTGCAGATGACCCGAATAATTAAATATAAGTCTTTTTGAAAGCACAATATGTAAATGTTTCTTTAAGATTCGCAGTCTGTGTAAGACGCAACGCATTTTATCGCGAGTTTCTAACGCCACCTGCTCCCGACTTAACTTGAAAGTTAATTAACAAAGACTTGTCCAATTTTCTAGAAAGGACGATTATCTCTTTCCCCTATTTTAAGAAAAATAATAATATAAATTTATATTTTCATTTCTTTTTATGAGAATAACCTGCTGACACGGCACATATTGTTCTACAATCTGACTCCGAATTTACTTTTTATATAGAGATTTTACTGTGACTTTACAGCGACAACGGCGCCAAATGTATTAATGTCCTCCAGACCAAATTTCAGTCACAACGGCCAATCTCAAAGGAGACTAGCCATCTGCGTAGGACAGGATTATAGTGCACAAGTGTATAGGTAAAGATACCAAAGAGTGCGCAGTTTTGACAGATTTATTTTTAAAATAATCAACTTTTGAGTTAAGTCTTCAATTTTACTTATAATTAGGCTTTGGTTCTTTAGGAACACTTTTTTTTTACTCTTATTATTAATCAACATACATTAATATTTAATAATTAATAAAAACAAGGACGTGTCTCACGCGCACTCTTAAGGTAAATGACTTAAAGAGTGCGCATCCATGGCTCTTAGTACTAGTTAAGAGTACGCATGAGGGTAATGGAAGCTTTGTCCATGGTGAAACATCTACTTTAACCAAGGCAAACGTCACACTTAAAAACTCCGAATCTTAGATAGTCAGAGCACTCATCGTGCCACCAAGCCCCACACTGACTACATTGGATCCAGTCTTCATCTGGAGGTTCTACGTAGACTTCGGCACAAAGGGGGCATCGAACAACTTCTGTACCCGTACTTGTTTCCAGCAGTGTTGGTCTATTTGGTGTCGTAGATTTATTTTTATTTGATGTCTTCTTTGTCTTCTTGGCCTTTTCTTCTTTTTCTTTTTGTTATGCTTCTATTTGATTTTTATAAGGAGAACTGGTAAGGATTTCTGATTTCTTACGTTTTATGTTTCTTTTTTTCTGAATGTTTGACTTTGGTAATGGTAAGATGTCTTCTGGTCTAAGAAAAGATGATTTGGATGGTGTTGGCTCGTTATTTTCTGGTGTTGTTATTACTTCCTGGTGATTATCAGTTGATTCAAGGGTTTCGGTTCCTCCGAGTTGAGATAATGCTATAACTGGAGCTGAAATATTAGTATTGACGGGTATAGGTGACGAGACAACTTGGGTAACAGTTTCTGTAGTTGTAAGTGGCAATTCAACAGCTAGATTTGAACTATACACACCGGCACAATTAGCGGAACAGAAAAAAAAGTGAGACTATGAGATAATAACGCATATATTTGACGAAAATGTAATTAGACAAAAAATAACAAATTGATTAACATCTTTTAACAATGACTTTGAAAAGTCTTCGTTATTTTTTACTGAAAAATAAAGAAATTTGAAATAAGTGAAATTTTTAGACGATTATGAACCATCACAAAAAATAAAAAAAGTAAGCATTAAATGATTTAACAATAAAATTAAAGCAAAATTAATAACGAGTGTTTCCCCCTCTTGCTCTGATTACGGTTTCCATTCGTCTGGGCATGCTACAGATTATGTTATCGATGATTTCTTGAGGCAACCGCTCCCAATCCTCAAGTAATGCGTTTCCAAGTTCATTCAGATTGTTGGGGGGTGGCATTCTGGATTTAACCCATCTTTTTAGCAAGTCCCAGACATGCTCTATCGGATTCATATCGGGGGAATTTGCTGGCCACTGCATCACCGGTCTACCTACGTGGCTCAGATATGCCTGTACCGATTGTGCACTACGAGCACGAGCATTATCTTGCATTAGAATAAAGTCGTCACCAATAAATGGGGCAAATGGTACAACATGTTCTTCTAAAATGTCTCTGATGTATCGATCTGCTGTCATGGTCCCTCCTGTGACTATCACTAACTCCGTGCGAGCTCCCAAACATATCCCTCCCCAAACCATAATCGAGCCGCCATCACAAGCCACTGTGTGTTCAAAATTAGACTGTATGTGGCGTTCTCCTTTGCGTCTACATATTCGCTGTCTCCCATCGATCTGTTTTAAAAGAACTCTGCACTCATCAGTAAAGAGAACCTGCTGTCATTCGTTCAAATCCCAATGACGATGTTCTCGCGCATAGCTTAATCGGTTTACGCGGTGACGTCTCTCAAGTTTTGGGCCTTTGGCAGGTATATACGACCCTAAACCAACTTCTTCAAATCTCCTGCGAACTGTACGCTCACTTACTCGTACTCCTCGAACGTCTTCCAGTTCATTTCGAGCTTGTACAGCCGTTAATCGCGTATTCCTACGAACTCCAAGTTGTAAAAAACTGTCATCTCGCCTCGATGTACATCTTTTTCTACCTTGACCCCTCCTCCTCACAAGAGAATTAGACGATCTGTACCGCTGGATGCTGCGATGAATCGTTGATACTGGTCGACGAAGCCTTGAGGCAATCGATCTGTAGGTATGGGTATTTCTTCTCATTTCATCAGCCCTAATGATTTCCAGTGATGTTAAGTCAGGCATAATAAAGAGCTTTTAATAAACAAAATTGCCTATAGAATAACAAATTTATAAGAAACCATTAAGTGCAATTTTTCAAAAAAATTACAATTACGTAGTTATTACTCGAACAAGTTGACAAAACGTATTGTTCGGGAAAATAAAACAAATGAATGAAAAAAGTGTATGTCATCTAATTTTCTATTTTCAAATTTGACAATAAATTAAAAAAATATCATAACTGGCCAGTTCCTCAAGTAAAAGATTTTAAAATCCTGCTTTTTTTGTGTTCCGCTAATTGTGCCGGTGTCTATATTAAGGGCTTCGCCTGTACTTGAAGTTTCTGCAGTTGGATTGGGACGGTCAGTGACATTTGCAGGAGCAAAATCTTCATCGGAAAAAATCTGATCGTTAAAAGGCCAGATGCCACAAGATTCGAATGATTTCTTGGCTCTGTCAATTGAACCAACCTTAAGGTATGCAGTGCCAAATAGTCGAGCAACTTGATATTGAGTTATAGCACGACCTGGATTTGAAACTTGCCAATTGTCACATGCAACTGCATAAGCTTTTTTTAATGGTCCAAAAAATCCTGTATCCAAACTCTGCATGCGATGGCTTGTGTGTGGTGCTAAGCTCAAAAGAACAACTCTATGATCCCTAGCTAATTCAATAGCCTGTAAACTTAAATGAGATGAATGATTATCTAAAATCAAAAGAGCAGGTTCATCTTTAGATGGCTTGACCATCTTAATGAAATGATTGAGCCAGATTATAAATAGATCTGAGTTCATATAACCAGAATCGGATACAAGCTGTAGGGAGTCCTCTGGAGCTCCATCCATCAATTCGGGTTTTTGCCGCTTTCTAGGAAAAATTAATGCAGGTGGTACGAATATTCCAGTAGCACCCATACAACAAACAGCCGTTACTGTTTGTCCACGTTCTGCGGACACAACTTTTCCTACAATTTTCTTGCCTTTTTTAGCATAAACTTTAGGTAACTTGTTTGGCACTGTCTGGAGGCCAGTTTCATCCATGTTGAAAATTTGTCTGCCAACAAATTTGAAGGTTGTAAGTACTTGTTTTAAATTATCATAAAATCGATGCACTTGTACACGATTGAATCCTGCAGCACGTGCCAAACTTGTTTTTTCAGGTTGACGGAGACTGAAGTTATGCCGCCTGGCAAAGTTTTCGACCCATTTCTTGCTAGCTTCCTTTTTATCATTATTAAATCTATGATTAAGACCGTTTTTATTTGCTAAATCATAAGCGACTCTTCCTAGCTCCTTCTTCGTCAGACCATAAAAACATAAATCCAAGCATCGGCAGTGCTCTGCCAAGTTACTGTCTAATTCAGGAGTAAATACATTTGAAAATCTACCTAAAGAGCAAGGAACAGTGCCTGCTTTTAGTCTTTTTCTTAGAGTCGATTCTGGGACATTCAAAGACTCTGCAACTGATCTTTGACTTTGCCCACGGCGTATTCTTTCCTTTGCATCTTTTAAAATTTCTTCAGTAAATACCAATTTTCTATCTGATTTTCTTTTATAACTTGACATATTTGCGATCTATAAAAAAACAAAAGATAAATAATTAAAAAAGCTACTTTGTTCCCCATGAGTTACTACCTAAGAGTGCGCATGCGCACTCTTTAGGTGCGCACTCTTAAGATTCACGCTAATTCGATTGGTTATGACAGTTACAATCATTCCAACAAGATCGCATTTATAACCTTACTTAATAGCAAAATATAATAACCAAATTTCAAGAATAACTCACATATTCAGGTGGCACCCTTATGCAAATCTTGTAATACGTCTTCGAAATTGTTGATAAATAAGATTAAAAGTACTCAAAACCTTTAAATTGCAATAATCAAACTAATAAATACCGCACCAACTTGAAAGCGTGTCTACTGATTCCAAGCGTCACTGTCAACTGACAGTTAGCGCAGTGCTGCCATGTGTTGAAATTTCGTACCATTTAAAAGCTGTGCGTACTCTTTGGTAGTGCGTACTCTTTGGTGTCTTTACTATACGCAAACACAAGTGCACTCTCTATTCACCTTAATAGTCTGATGGGACGGCAGGCTGACACGCCAGGAGAGAAATCAGGCGCAGCACCAACGGCATTACGTGTTTTCCGAGGAAACGGGGTGAAAAATCACCAACTGCCTAACTCCGGGCTACCACTGAGGGTTTCTTGATAGAAAAAAACCCAATAATAAATTGTTGACCGACCCGGGATCCGAACCCAGGGCTTAATGATTATCAATTGGGTTAATGACCACTAGACAAACGAGTCAGTCTATATCAACATCAGTTACAACGGCTCCGTGGTGCAGTGGCTATTCAATGAGTTGCAGTGCCAAGAGGCGTGGGTTGGAATCTTGCACGGAGCAAGTATTTGTATGACCTACAAATAATTGTTCAGGTCTGGATGTTGTCTTTATGAAATTTATTTACTGCCAACTATTATGTTTCTAGTACCATTCCATACGAAACACTGCTCTTACTTTACGCTAGTATTATGTGAGAGTGTGTGCGAGCCGACCTATTCGAGCTACAACCATAATATAGCTGCAACATGGCTCTAACACGTATATAGGAAATTATTCTAGTGCGGGTGTAACGTTTGTTTAAATTAGTTTCTTTCAAACATTATTAAAGGCATATTGCTAGCAACATACTTGTAATAATATGTAATGAACTCTGTTTATTTTTGTAGGATAACAAGCGCGCACACAGTCCACCTGGTGGTAAGTGGTTGCTGTGGCCCATAGACATCTACATCTATCATCGATTGCGAATAAAATGCAGATGCGTTGTCAGCTTTGAGGACTAAGATGGAATGCCTCTTTTTCCAGTAAAAACGGTCTCTGGTTCTCTATACTCACCAAACGAAACACAACAGCGTTAAGCTGCTGTTTTATTGTATTCTGTGGTAGCGTGGTTCTTCCTCGTTCTAGCCGACCCATTCGTGCTACAACTATACTATTCATATAGGTGTAGCATGGCTCTATCACGTAACAAATAAATGATTTTTTTATAAGATTAGGGTAACAAAGGAGCACTCAGTTCACCTGATGGTTAGTTTTTGGTGTGACCCATAGATCTATCCTTATCTATCCTCAGTTACGAATGAAATGCAGATGCGTTGTCATCCATGAGGACTTAGATGGAATGCCTCGTTTTCAGTAAATAGGGTGGGTCTCCGGTTCTCTACGCTCACTATACGAAACACAGCAGCATTGAGATGCTATTTTACACTGATATTCTGTTAGAGCGTAGGCCTTACCCGATCGAGCCGACCCATTCATGCTACAACTATACTAATAATATAGCTGCAGCATAACGATGAAGATAATGAAGGAAAACATTTTAATGTGTAACTTAGTAAAATTATAAAGAGAAACATTAATTTTCTGTTTTTTAAAAGTAAGATCGTTTCCATTTTTTCTATTGCGTGCTTTTCTCGTCTACACAAGTCTTAGCGATCCCTTAATTGTGTTTAGTCAATTAGCACAGGAAAGGAAATTGTTTTGCGTCCATACAATGTTCGCCCAAGAACCAAAAGTAAAAAACAAAAATAACTTTTATGTCCGAAATTACACATAATTGTATGTAAGAACAATAACTCTTGACGGACACTTCTGAAAACTTAGATATTTGCAGTTATCATAGAGATTTTGAGGTGATGTTTTATGTTTATGAAATTTTCAACAGTGGTAGAGCCACGCGGCAGCTTTTACGTTCGCACGGATGGACCGGCTCGAACCGGGGTGGTACCACGACCCCACAGAAAACCAGCGTGAAGAAGAGGTTTACCTCTGCGTTTCACGTGGTGAGTGCAGCTGGCCGGAGGCCCTTTTTACTGGAAATGAGGCATTCCATCTTAGTCCTCACGGGTGACAACGCATCTACATTTTGATTTGTAATAGAGGATAGATGTAGATGTCTATGGGCCGCAGCAACCACTTACCATCAGGTGGACTGTGTGCTCGTTTGTCATCATTATCCTATAAAAAAAATTTATTATGTTATTGCCAATGTAAGCAGTTCAGTTTTAGCCTAGCATTTATACGGTAAATAAAACTCAGGTTGTGATTAGTTATTTATTTTATTCATACCAAATAAATACAACATATACAGTCTCATTTGGTTAAAGTCCCTGATTCAAGCCAGGTAGGTCGCTGAAGAAGAGTATCGATATCCGTTGTTCGTAATTTATATAAACCTATTGCATAACAAACCAACTACAGAGTGCACTTAGATTCCTAAAACATTTACAGAAATGTATTTTTTTTAAATGAAACCAAAACAATAGCACGTCTGACGTCTATCTATTTTGACTTGTTGTCATGTGTGAACGTTATTAAATTTATTTTTGCGTGGCACTTTGCTGATTTGCCAATGAAATGACAATAGTATTGTTATTTTAAATGAAAATAGATGATTTCACTGTACCCCAGTTCCTTGTGGCATATATTAATCTGAGATATATTTTAAAATATAAACGTTTTCATAACTATATTTGAGTTTATGACAACTTTTCAAATATGTGAGTGAAGGTATTGTGCGATTGGCCAAATCAGAGGAGGCCATAAACGCAGCACAATAGTATTAAAAAATAGGTACAAAGTTCAAAATCAAAAAAGTCCTTTTTATTTTGATTTCACAAGTCATAAGTGTCCGTTACTATCTAATGAATGTTATCTAATGCATAATTAAGGATAAGAATTTTGGTAATTGTCAAATATATGTTGGTTCTTAGGCGCGTTTTAACATTGTCCTTTCATTTACTAGCTTTTATAATTACTAACTTTGCATAATATGATATTCATTAGTTGAGTCACATTACATATTAATAATTACCTAATAATATTGGAATTCCAGATTCTAATATTAATATTTCTGTGAGAACTGAAATTGGTACATAAAAAATTGCTTGGTGATTAACGGAAAATTGATCTACTAGTATGAGTTTATAAACGTGTTCCCAAATTGAGAAGGTTTTATGGTCGATGCTTTTTTTTATTAAATAGTTTATACTTCAGGGTTGTTTTTTTTTAAATTGCCACCAAAGGTGGAAAAAAAAAGTTCTTGAAGTTTTAATCATAATTTAGACGATATTATAGCTGTTATTACCGTGGATTTGTGATATTTCTTAGACCACTCAAAAGGCTAAGATAAAAAAATATTAATAATAAATAAAATAAAATAAGACAAAAAAATAATATCACTTTAAAAATTTTAATTCTTCGATTCACTACGTCTTAGTACAAGCTTCATAAGTTATGATGTGGACATATTTTTCGGAGTTTATTGTTGTTTATTGGATTTAATTGTCGTTTATTGGAGATTATTGTAGTTTATTAGAGCTATTACATTATTCCGATGATATCCAGGACGTCAGTCTGAGCGAGATTAGAATGGCTCTCCAGCACCTTAAAAACGGCAAGGCCCCAGGCGAGGATGGAATTACAGCGGAGCTTCTGAAAGCGGGTGGAAAACCGGTACTTGAAGTCCTTCAGAAGCTCTTTAATTCCGTCCTCCATGGTGGCATTACACCGGAGGTGTGGAGCAGAAGTGCGGTGGTCTTGTTCTTTAAGAAAGGCGACAACGCTCTCTTGAAGAACTACAGACCGAGTTCCCTTCTGAGCCGCGTCTACGTGCTGTTTTCGAGAGTCATTACGAATCGTCTCGCGCACAGACTTGACGACTTCAAGCCTCCCGAACATGCCGGTTTCCGAAAAGGTTTTAGCACCATAGACCACATACATACCCTTTGACAAATTGTACAGAAGTCCGAGGAGTACAATTTGCTACTATGTCTGGCGTATGTGGACTATGAGAAAGCCTTTGATTCCTTCGAAATTTGAGCGGTGCTTCAGTCCCTTCAGCGATGCCAAGTTGACTGTCGGTATATCGAAGTGTTGAAGTGCTTGTACAGTAGGGCTACAATGGCTATCCGAGTACAGAACCAGAGTACGAAACCTATCCAATTGCAGAGAGGTGTAAGACAGGGTGACGTCATATCCCCGAAACTCTTTACCGCTGCATTGGAAGATGTTTTCAAGCTTCTGGACTGGAAAGGATACGGTATCAACATCAATGGCGAGTACATCACTCACCTTCGATTTGCCGACGATATAGTCCTTATAGCAGAATCGCTGGAGGACCTAAGCACTATGCTCAATGACCTCGATAGTGTTTCCCAACGGATAGGTCTTAAGATGAACATGGACAAAACAAAGATCATATTTAATGTCCATGTCACACCTATGCCGGTAGTTGTTGGGAACACTAAGCTCGAAGTTGTTAACGAGTATGTTTACCTGGGACAAATAGTCCGACTATTTAAGTCCAATTTCCCGTGTGGAGTTGCCAGAGCTTTCATCGGGCGCGTCCCCAGGTGGCGGATAGGGGAACGCCACTCTGATATGGGTGGTAGCGGGAAACCGTCGCGGACCAAAACTGGCTGGCTGAGGGCTTATTTTGATAATGGAGGGCCTTCTAGTTGCTTCCTGTATCCTCTCCGTTGAGAGAAACAGAGAATG